AAGATTTTAGGGGAACCTGGCTGGCTCACTTGGTGGAGCCTGTGACTATCTCCGGGGTTGTAAGTTCAAGTCTCACCCTGAGTACAGAGATTACTTAAAAAATAATAAAATCTTTAGAAAAAATAAAACAGTAAATTTTAGTGATGTATATTTTAACATACGCACAAAAAAGCCTGACCTTTACCCTACCACGTGCATGTCAGTTTTCAGCTGCACCAAAACCATAATCTCTATCTGTAACCCTCACAAACCCAGTGCACGTCTTCCATGCCACTGAAACGCTTAAGAGAAATCGTTGAGACTCATATAACCAACGCCCAAGGCCACAAACAGGAGGGGCCAGCAGGCAGAAGTGGGGGGGGGGGGTCGGGGAGTCAGAGGGTCACGAGGAGCGTTGGCTATGCATCGCTAGCCCCCAGCTTGCAAGCGAGGGATACCTGAAAACTCCCCATCGATGGCGAAGAAGTCGGCCTCCTCTATGGCCTGGTACACTTTTTGAAGATTACTCTTAAAATCTGCGGAGAAACCGAGAAGAGGCTCAGAACCGGTGGCCGGGCTTCCTGCCCAAGAGCTCCTAATGGGAAAGGGAAGGGCTGGGAAGATCCTGAGGCCTCAGGCGGGAGGAGGACAAGTCCTAGAGGGATAAACAAGACACAGTATCAAGTCCCCGAGGGGTGCATGGTGGGAGGGGATCAAGTCCCCAGTGGGTGCGTGGGCCGGAGGAAGACCAGCCCCGAGGGTGCACGGGCCACAGAGGCACACAGCCCTGGGGGACGCCCGGGCAGGACAAGGCAGGACAAGGCAGGGACAAGACCCCCTAAAGCTCACAGACTTCAGGGGAGGCAAACCCCTGAGGGGATGCTTCAGCCCCAGGCCCCGCCAAGCACACCGGCGCTGGTCTGGGCCTAGCAGGCCGGGTGAGGGGGCCTTGAGTCTCGGGGTGATGCACGGCGCGACACGCACTGCTCCTGATTATCTCCATTCTGCAGAGTGGCCGGAACCCCGGCCCCGCCTGGGCCCGCCTCGGCAGTTCTACACGAAAAGTTCCGCTGGGACCGCAGCAGCAGCGAAGGCAGAAGCGGCGGAGACCGCGGCGGCGACTTCCGGAAACAGCGCGCGCCGGCGCGCGTCACGTGTGTCTGCGTCAGCGGCGGGGGCGGGGCCAGCCTGGGCTCTTTTCACTACTTCAGGGCTGGAGAAGGGGCGTGGCTATGGAAATCTCCAAGACTTGGGCTAATTTGCGAGGCCAGACGTGGGACAGCAAGTTCAGATTAAGAAATAATCATGTCTTGACGCCCAATTGGTGAACAAATATTTCCTGGCGATACTATGCGCCAGGCGCTCTCAAACGGGTGGGGATACAGTGTTGAACAGAGGAGACAAAATCTTTGCCCCTTTGGAGCTTAACTTGGGGGAAAAGGGGGAAAGTCAGGCAGGTATCAAACTTGCCACTTGGAAACACAATCAGCGCTATGAAGAGCGAGAGCCCGGTCCTGCAATAAAAATAATGGGGGGGGGGGATAACTGGAGGGAGGGTTACCTAAGAGAGGTGAAGAGAATACAAAGCCGAGACCTACTGCACTAGCCACCGGGACTGGCGAACAAAATAGATGAAGTCTTGGTTTAGTTGGTTTGGAGTATACTGTGGAGCCCCAGAGCCTACAACGGTGTCGATACATAGTAGATGCTCGATAAACATAGCTGAGTGACTGAATTCACTTTCATCTTTCACAAAAGCCGACTATGTAGTTGGTTAGAAGACCAGCTTTCAAAGGCTACCTTTGCCATTAATTAGGTTTGGAACGTATTCATCATTCCTAAACCTCGATCTTCTCATCCACTAAATAGGGTTGAGGATAGGTGATGATGTCTGTGAAGTGTAGAGTGCTGCGTCAATGTAAGACAGGATTAGAGTTGTGCCTTGCCACAATTCCCTTGCGTTCACACCTTACTTTGACATTTATTGAGTATAAAATCCGTTCTGTTTTTTGAAAAAAAAAAAAAAAAAAAAAAAAAAGATGACCATTTCCCCCCCCCCAAAATGCAGTATTAAATATTCTAAAGAACACATAAGAGTCTGGCCATATTTTCCCCACCAATTCCGTCAACAAATTCATTTCCCTTGCCTCATTCAGTGGAAATTTACAAATAGGTAATTATGTCAACTATCTTAATGTGAACAGCGGAGAGTAAATGTGAATTCTAGAGTTCAGGGGAAATGGGAAGGAGAAAAATATAAGTAGTCGAACCTCAGGCTTGAAATATTTCTCTGCCTTTTTTTGTTTCGGCTTAAAAAGTGCAATACAGGGTGCCTGGGTGGTTCAGTCAGCTAAGCCTCGGACTCTTGATCTCACCTCAGGTCTTCATCTCACGGTCATGAGCTCAAGCCCTGCTTTAGGCTCCACACTGGGTGTGAAGTCTACTTAAAAAAAAAAAAAGTCAAATACAGAAAGAACTAAATATATATGGCACTTAAATTTAAATTTTAAGTAATTTAAATAATTTTAAATAAGTAATTTTAAGTAATTTAAATAAAATTTAAGTAATTTAAATAAATACATAAGAAAACTTGCTACAAAGCTACAGTAGTCAGAACAGTGTGGTATTGGCATAAAGAAAAACCTAGAAACCAATGAAATAGAGACCTTCCCCCAAATAAACCCTTGCATTTAAGGACATATGATTTACAAGTGTGCTGAAATCACTCGATGGGAAAAGAACAGTCTTGCCAGTAATAGTGTTGGGAACACTGGATGTCCACATGGGAGAGAATGAAGTTGGATCCTTACTTTATACCAAAGAAAAATTATATATAAAATAAAAATTAACTCAAAATATGGGCACCTGGGTGGCTCAGTTGGTTAAGTGTCTGACTTGATTTTAGCTCAGATCATGATCTCAAGGTTTGTGGGACTGAGCCCCACATTGGGCTCTGCACTGAGAGAGGGGAGCCTGCTTGGGTCTCTCTCCCTCTCTCTCTCTCTGCTCCTCCCCTGCTCACACATGCTCTCTCTCTCTCTCTCTCTCTAAGGAAATAAATAAACATTTAAAAAAATTAACTCAAAATAGATGAAACATCTAAATGTAAGAGGTGAAACTATAAGACTCCTAGAAGAAAACATAAAGCAAAAGCCTCCTCACATTGTATTCGGCAATGATTTTATTGTTTAAATATGATACCCAAAGCACAGGCAGCAAAAGAAAAAATAGATGAATCAGACATCAGAATTTATGACACTTGTGCAGGAAAGGATACTATCATCAAAGTGAAAACGCAACCCATGTAACGGGAGAAAATATTTGCAAACTGTATATCTGATAAGGGACTAATATCCGCAATACATAAAGGACTCCTACAATTCAATGACAAAAAGGAACCTGATTAAAAAATAGTCAAAGGTCTTCAATAAACATTTCCCCAAAGATGTACAAATCACCAGTAAGCACATGAAAAGATGTTCAGCATCACTAACACAAAGCAAAACAGTAATGAGATATCCTTTCCCATCCCCTCCCTTTTTTGACGCAAAAAAAGGGTGGTTTTATTAAAGCACTGGGACAGGACCTGTGGGCAGAAAGAGCTGCCTTTCTTTTTTTCCAATCCTTTCACATCCCTTCGCTGAGAAACTGAAACCCTTGTGTGCTGTTGGTGGCAAGCTAAAATGGTGTGGCTGCTGTGGAAAACAGTATGGAGATTCTGAAAAATTTTTTTAATAGAATTATCATGTAATGCAGCAATTCCACTTTTGGGCATGCACCTAAAAATATTGAAAGCAGAGGCTTGAATAGGTATTTGCACACACGTGTTCTTAGTAGCACTATTCACAATAGCCAAAGGGTGGAAACAACCCAGTGTCCATTAACAGATAAACAAAAAGTTGTATATACTTAGAATGGAATGTTATCGAGCCTTACAAAGGAAGGACATTCTGACACGTTACAAGGTAGATAAACCTTAAGGATATTATGCTAAGTGAAATAAGCCAGTCACAAAAAGTCAAATACAGTATGATGCCACTCACGTGAAGTACCTAGCGAAGTCACATTGACAAGACATAAGGTCGAAAGGTGGTTCCCAGAGGCTGGAGAGAAAGTGCGGGTTGGAAATGTTTAATGAGTATGGATTTTCAGTTTGCTAAGGTGAAAAAGTCCTGGAGATGGATGCTGATGATAGATGTACAACTACGTGAAAGTACTGAATGCCACTAAACTGTACACTTAAAAATGGTTAAAACGGTAAATTTTATGTCGTATCACACACACATACACACTGACACTGACACAAATTACCCTCCAGAAAATGAGTTCACACTCCCTGCCCTAGCATAGGACCAGTCTTTTAATTCTTTGCCAATCTGTTATGTTAGAAAGAAAAATGTCACTCCAAATGATCAGTTTAACAAACTCCAGGCCAGTTGTTTAAAAATACCCAGCATGAATTCTCAACGCCCCGAAACAATGGGAGAAAAAAAGGTTCATAAAGTCACTTTAATTCCCGTTCTTAACACTACACAGAGAACTTCCGCCAAAGTCCTGGGATTTTCTGCAAAAAATCTTTGTGGAGAGTACAGTGCGGTATTATTTAAGTTCTGGGTAAAGCTGTTTCCTCCAGACACAGAGACAACCTCCCAAGAGGACCTGAACCAGACACCCGCCTCACCCTCTGGGTGTAACGCCACCGTGGCCCCGAGTTTATTTCTAGAGAGGAACGGGCGGGGCCGGCGGTGGCACGCATGCGCCGAAATCCTCGGCCGGGGAGTGGCCGCTCTAGGCAGCGGGGAGGTCGCGGGGTTGAGAGGGTTGGGAGAAGAGTGCGGCTTCTCCTCTATGGTCGTGGGCCGGGGCACTCTTCTCCCCAGTAAGTCTTCGGTTACTTCCGGAAGTGAAGTGGCCACCTCTTCCTCTGCTTCCGTGGGGGTCCGGGAGGAGGGCGGCGGCCGGGTGGGCCCGGAAGGAACAGAGTGGTAAGCCCTCAGCGTGGCGGGAAAGGGCAAAGGGAGGCCCGGGCTGCATTTCGGGGCGGCGTATTGAGGACGGCTGTGGGGGACGGGTTAGAGAAGCAGGTGCGCGGGGCTTTCCTCGCCCAGGCCCGAGTCCTAAGCATCCGCGGTCTCGGCCACCGGGCCCGGACCCTCGCGTGGCCAACTTCCCCGTCCTTTCCCGAGAGCCCTACGTCGACAGGGCGGATCGCCGGGACTTGCCTGCGTCCCCTCAGGGGTCAGGGTCAGAGCCTACCGCTCCAGGATCTCCCCAGGGCGGGAGGGAGGAGGCATCGCTTCCACACATTTTGGAGTGGAACGAAGGGACGCCTGCCTCCCAGGAGCCCCTGCCGCAGCCGTTGGTTGCGCGTCCAGAATTGATCAGGTTGGTGCTAGACTGAGCTACGGGTCTGATTGGAGAGGCAGTTCCTGCCCTAACGCGGAACGATTGCTCCCGTTATAAAATAGGGTAACGGACGCGCTCAAAAGGGAAAGTGAAACCCCAGAGTCGCACTAGGGTTAGGCTAGAACACAGCTGTTATGATTCCATGCTCACGGCTTCTAATGGGAACTTGTACAAAAAGTTCTCGTTAAAAGAAAATATAAAGAGGGGTAAATGAAGATCAGGCTGTGTCTAGCCGAGGCTCTTTGGCGGGGCAGGAGACGGCCCCCCAACTTTGGTGGAGAGGTGATAAAGTCCAGACATTGTCATGCCCTCAGCTGTCGCCGTTGGGTCCTCCCCGCTAAAGCCCATTGGTCGGTCCTTTGGGGGTGGTCTTGATGTCACCCTCTGAAAGGCCAATAGAAAAGAGGTTTGCTCTGTTCTCCGGACACGCCCCAGAGCCGGCGCAGAGCGCACGTGCGAGTTAGGTAGTTTGGTTTGTTTTTGTCCCGGCTGTTTTGTAAACAGCCTGTCTGGGTGTATGGTGTGTTCTGCGTTTCCCAGCCTGTTTCCGTAAACGAGATGGAAAAACTGTCTCCTCCAGTGCTTGGCACTGACGCCAGTAACGTAGCTGACATCAGTAACGGCAGCTATTAATCATCCTATCACTATTCGGTACTCTTCTTTGACTACCTATGGATAGAGTTTGTTATTTAAACCTCCTTCAGAGTGGATATTATTATCCTGAACTTATGAATGAGAAATATGAGGCTTAGGGAGAATAAATGTGACCTGTTTGGCACCCAGGTCTCCATTCCTGGGAACATAACGTTTTAAGTATACAAGCCTCTCAGGGGAAATAGCCGTCTAGGAGATGACTAAACACACAAATAAAAGTTACAGTAATGCACAGAGGCAGGAAGGATTAATTTGGGTGTGAGTGGAATTAGCCATTAAAGACTTTCCAGTGGCAGGTGATTCGGGTCTTGTCCATTGAACACTTTTGACCCAGGGATGGTGCATAGCTGGGTTACAGATGAAGGAAACAATGTGACAGAAAAATGCCCAAGGAGCAGGAATTTATAGATGGGACCAAAGTGTAGTGTGTGAGTAGATGAGTAGTAGGGAATAATTGTAATAATAGTAATAACTAGCATTTACTTTGCACTAATGTGCTGGCCACTATTCTGAGTGCGGTGTGTATATTATTAACTCATTTAATCCTATCAACAACCCCATCAGTAAGGTGGTATTAATATCCCAGTTTTACAGATGAGGAAACTGAGGCACACAGATTAAGTGACTTGCCTGAGATCACACTAGTGATGGGTGAGCTGGGATTTGAAATCGATCATTCTGGCTCCAGACTTTGTGCTCTTGTTTTTTGGTTTATTATTTTTTTTTAATTTTTTTTTTTTTTATGATGTGCTCTTGTTTAAAAAGTTGTGTTGGGGTACCTGGCTGGCTCAAGCTGTAGTGCATGCGACTCTTAATCTCAGGGCCATGAGTTAAAGCCCCACATTGGGCATGTAACCTACTTAAAACAAAAACAAAAGACCTCATTAAAAAGTTCTGTTGATTTGTGAACCATAAAGATTCTTAAATGACAAGCTTACAACTATGGGTTTTAGTTTCTCATGGTCAAGACGGTTTTGAGCAAAGGAAATGTTTGATGAGAATTTTGCTACAGCAGGATGATTCAGGCACTGGAGAGAGGAGAGATTGGAGAGTAGAGGAAATGAGCTTGAAAATGTTGTTTAAACTTTTTTTTGTTCACACCTTACCTATACCTTGTCTGAAACATGTATTTAGGCACACACGTGTTTATTTATTTGTATGTAACAACTCTCTAGTTCCCAAACTTCTGTGTGCATTAAGAATCTCCTAAGGGGCTTGTTTAAAATGTACACTTCTGGGGGACCTGGGTGGCTCTATCAGTTAAGTATCCAACTCTTGTTTTTTGTTTTTTTGTTTTTTTATTTATTTATTTTTGAGAGAGAGCCCAAGCAAGGGAGGGGCAGAGAGAGTGGGAGACACAGAATCCAAAGCAGGCTCCAGGCTCTGAGCTGTCCGCACAGAACCTGACACGGGGCTTGAACCCGTGAAACTTTGAGATCATGACCTGAGCTGGAATCAAACACTTAACTACCTAAGCCACCCAGGCACCCCAAGCATCTGACTCTTGATCTTGGCTCAGGTCTTGACCTCAGGGTCATGAATTCAAGCCCTGCGTTGGGCTCCATGCTGGGCATGGAACTTACTTAGAAATAATAAAATAAAATGAAATAAAATAAAATAAAATGTACATTCTTGAGCCTCTCTGTCAGATATCCTTTTTCATTTCAGCTTCACAAAACTCAGATGATTATGTCAGAGGTTCTAAGAAATTACTGTGATAGGGAGTCAGATATATGCTGATTTGATTTTCATCTACAAGTATCCAGAACCCATCCTCGTGCCAGCTACTGCAAATACGGTGATAGAATTCTGTGGCTTGGTTCCTCATCTCAAGAAGCTCAGAATTTTGATTGGAGAAGGAGAGACTACTCAAACCAATAATTAAAGTATGGTTTCTAATCAGTTTTTTTTTTTTATCCCAAGTTATTGGACATCTACAGCATTTAATACGGGATAGGTCGCCGAATATACGCCACATAATGTAAACGAAGAGTCTCTAGGGAGAGCCAGGACACTCTTCTCAGTGTTCTCTTGTCTTGCCCAACATCCCTCACGAGCAGTGAATCACGGGGTCTCAAAGTTCAGGCAGCACGTCAGCCAGTGCGCTAGCTAGCTACCTTTGCCCTAGTAATGTCTGACTCCGTCCAGAAAGAAAATATTTTTGGACAAGGTTTTTTATGGGAAGAGCCTGTAAGTGCTTCTGTTGTGTTCATGAAAGCCACTTTCTGCCACCTACAAGAGGTGTACACAATATTCTCTTATTTTTGCCATGTATGGCCTTTGCCTTGCTTGCATTTGGGCACATTTCATTTCATAGTCGCTAGAAATGTGTGGTCACTCTTTGGACATTTAAAATGTCTGTAGTATTCTACTTGTGTTTATAGTGGTGTCCCCAGAAGTAGACCTGGGGTGCCAGAAATAAGGGAGTTCCCAACTACTCTCACCACTATTTCTTTCTTTCTTTCTTTCTTTCTTTCTTTCTTTCTTTCTTTCTTTCTTTCTTTCTTTCTTTCTTTCTTTTTTTTTTTTTAGTTTATGCAAGGAATCTCTATGCCCAACATAGGGCTTGAACTCACCACCCCAGGGTCAAGAGTCATACACTATTCCAACTGAGCCAGCCAGGCACCCCTCACATCTCTTTCTTTCTTTCTTTCTTTCTTTCTTTCTTTCTTTCTTTCTTTCTGTTAACTTTTAGAGAGAGTGCTAGTGGGGGAGAAGGAGAATGGCGGGGTGGGGTGGGGAGAGAGAGAGAGAGAGAGAGAGAGAGAGAGAATTTTAAGCAGACTCCACGCTCAGCACAGAGTCAGACGCAGGGCTCGATCCCACCACCCTGGGATCATGACCTGAGCTGAAATCAAGAAATCAAGAGTTTTTAATGCTCACCCAACTGAGCCACCCAGCACCCTTCACCCCACTTTCTCTTGTGACTGCGTCTGCTTGTCTCACGCAACACCATGCTCATCGAGCCAGAGTTCATGTTTCGAAACGCAGTGGTGTTGTCCCTTCCTGGTTTATTTTCTGCAGTTTGGATTGCTCAGCTTTTATAGTGGCAGGATAGAGGGGCCAATTAGTTCTTTGAACCAATAACATATTGGTTACCTTATTGGAATAATGTAGTGCTATGAGGTCAGGCTTTAAGTCAGACCATGGTTTAAATTTTTTTTTAATTTTTTTTTAATGTTTAATTATTTTTGACAGAGAGAGAGAGAGAGAGACAAAGCATGAGCGGGGGAGGGGCAGAGAGAGAGAGAGAGAGAGAGAGAGAGAGACATAGGATCCTAAGCAGGCTCCAGGCTCTGAGCTGTCAGCACAGAGCCCGACGCGGGGCTCGAACTCACGAACTGTGAGATCATGACCTGACCTGAAGTCGGACGCTCAACCGACTGAGCCACCCAGGTGCCCCAGAAGTCAGACCATGGTTTAAAACCTGGCTCTGTCCTCTATTAACTAGGCCTCCATTTTTCTCATCTGTAAAGTGGAGATGAGAGCAATAATCATCTCATAGGATCATCTTTCACATGATAAGCTCTCATTAGATGCTAGTGTTTGTCATTCTTCTTTGCTGTCAGGTAATATGTAATGAAAAGAAGTAAATGACCTAGTTAAAAGACGATATAAAGGCAAAATCTTTTTATTCTTGCAGGGAAACATCTTTGCTAAGTAGTGATTGAGATCCTCTTTTCAGGTTAGAATCCCAATAAATTAGTCCTCCGAAAGATTACTCCTAAAACATTAGGTATGTACTATTGTCACAATAAACGTCTTGTTGAACAAAAAGGTAGAACCATAATTATATGTCACTGAACAAAGTAGTTTGAAGATTATGACTTCTAAAGAGTTAACTATCACTACGTGACGTCTTTATTTCATTTATTTAAATTCAAGTCTGTTAATATATAGCGTCGCATTGGTTTCAGGAGTAGTATTTAGTGATTCATTGCATGCAGTCTTTATAAGCTGAGGTATAAAAATGCTCCATTTAAACTCATTATGAATGCATACTTCTTTGAACTCAATGACAATTACTGTATTAATTGACCTCGGGGTGACTAAAGAATCAAACAGTTAATGGCAGTGACACCACCTCCTTCCACCACTTCTTCTCGATGATTCTACAGATCGGTACTTGACCAAATCAAACAGTTTTCCTTCCGAGGGAGCAATAGCCACGTTTATTGCCAGTTCTTTAATCACACAGAATAGCTGGGATATGGTATTCCAGTCCTTTTGTTTCCTTCCTAGATTTTTCAGATAACTGTACCATGTCAGTTAGGTATTTCTTGCGGAAACACGGAAAAGATTCCAGTGCTAGAGCTCTTGCAGTT